TTACGTTGTTTAGTTTAAAGAATTTCATTAAGTTGTAAAGTATATTTTCATCAGATCAGGTGTATAGTATAGTTTTGTTGAATTATTGACATTTATTTGAAGTTTTTATTTAAGGTGTAACTTTCGGCTTTATTCTTTGAGATTAGCTTCCGGCTTTAGGCTTTTTTTTTCTTTTTTGGATTTTTTCTGTTTTATTTTTTTAATTTACTCGTGTACTTTTATTTTCTCTTTAATAATATTGGAATAGAAGGCTTGGCATACGATAAAAGCTTTGAAGAATGCCAACTTAGAAAAATTTTCAGTTTTTTGATATCATAAAAAACTAAAAAAACGAGTTATAAATGGCACGTTTAGAATTCATTTCAAAATGATTTTATTTTGTATATGAAAATGAAAATAAAAACGTTTTTAATTTCAAATATAAATTATTTTTGAAAAGACGTTTGGTAGTGTTATCAAGATATTATTTTCAGTATAAAAAAACTCATTAATGTCTCTCTCTCTCTATCTGTTTGAGAGAGGAAAAAACGAAAATAAAAAATGAAAAACAACTAAAAGTCATTTTTCATTTCTCCCTCATTTTACACTAAACCAAAAAATCATTTTTATTTTCGTTTTTTGTCTTTATTGCGCCAAACGCCGTTTTAAAAATATTTTTATTTTTTCTTTCTTGAAAAATGTGAAAAATAAAAACAGAATCAATTCTAAATGCGGCCAAAAAGTATTGTCAAATAGGCTTTTTATATCATTCCAAGCCATGAAATAAATAGTGAGAATTCTTTTGATAGGATATAATACTAAGTACAGAGAGGGATTAGAAGTGTCATAAAGATTAAGAAAAATGCACTTGTGTTACTCAACAACCCAGCCAATGTGTAATGAGATATTGGGTGTGGGTGACATGGGTGAAAATTAGGCATATTTTTTAAATAGAATTGAGTCATATATTTTTTGCCTCATCGGTGGACCTTGAGATTTCTAAAGTGACCAAGGAGATGGGGAACAAAATAACACCACTAATCTTTATTTTCTTATAAAAAACAACACAATTAATAGGAGCTAGCCAAATCTATAGAATTTATACTGTGAGATTATCTTTCTGTGAACTATGTTTGGTAAGAAAGAAAGATTGAGGGAGAGAGAGGTGAATTCTTTGTTTGGCGGGAGGGAAAAGAGAAGCCTTTAGACTCATCAATTTAGATAGAAGAATTCAATTAATCCATACAAATTTAAATTAATTTTATCCTTTTAAACAAATTAATAGTAAATATTAAAGTTGATAATATATTCTTTAGATTAATAGCTATCATTTATAATTTTAACTCTCTCCAACTCTTACAAAACAATATAAAGATTACTATAATACTCTTCATTCTTTGCGTTCCTAATCCTTATAACTTTATATATTATTCTTATTTTTCATTCCTCTTACCAAATAGAGTGTTAGTATGCAATGTTGGAGATTAAAAAAATGCTTAGACACACCTACGATATTAAGCACAATTATAAATAAAAAGTAGACTCCACGTTGTATTATTTTAAGATTTGTTTAATTAACTAATTCGAGCTTTTAATTTAAATTTAAATATAATTTTATGTAAAATTTTTTTATTATTATAACAAAATTAATAGAACCTTAAATTATTAATTTTTTTTATTATTAATAAAATTTAAATTTTAAACTCAAAAAATAAAATGGATGGGATACTATTAGCGTTAGAGCATTTGAGACACGTGATAATATATTGAGGATGATTAAGCACGATTTTTTTGCATTCCTTGTCAAATCAAATCATCAATGAAAACAATAATGAAGCTAAGTAAGGGGCAGCACGTCGCAGCTGATTTGGCTTTTATTGCACCCACTTCCATTTGAAAAATTGATTATCAATCCATTTAATTAGATTCGCTCATTTAATCCATTTAATTAGATTCGTTTATTTAAGTGAGCGTTTAATTTATAAATTTAAAATTATTTTTATTTTATATATATTTTTTATAGAA